GCAGATGCGTGCGTATGAACGTGCGGATGTGAATTCCTTTCAGTCCCACCAACACCAGAGGAGTTATTGTTCTTATTATTGTTATTATTTCCATGATTCGGCACATTCTCAATCCCAGTAACGCCTAGCGCGGCGTTCTTCTCCATCTGCGCTACTTCCTCGGCTGTCAGGAATCGGCCACTGGCCCGCGCGGCCCGGCGCATGGCGTGGTTGTGTCGTGACTCGTGGAGGTAGGGCTTGCGGCCCTTGGAGGTGAGGCGAAGTTGGTCTTCAAGCTTTTGTCGCGCGACGCGCCGCTTGAGGATGCGGTGGAATTGCTTGGCATTGACATAAAGAGGTGATTCTTCAGCGGGTGGGGCGGAAGGAGCAGAGGTGGAGGTTGTGGTGACGAGGTCTTGGGAAGGTTGGGGGGGTTGCTGTTGCTGTTGCTGTTGTGGCGGTGGGGGGTGCTGCGCATGTTGCGCATGTTGCGGGTGTTGAGGATGCTGAGGATGTTGAGGCGGGGCGGACATGGGTGAGGGGCCCGGTGGGGGTCGTTGCATGGTGTGGTTGTGGCTATGGTTGAGGGCGGGTTGGGCGTTTTGTACATGGGGGCTGCTGATCTGTTGGCTCATGCGACGTTGTTGCTGCTGTTGCTGCTGCTGCTGCTGCTGTTGTTGCTGTTGTTGTGACTGTTGTTGTGATGATGGTTGTTGTTGCTGTTGTATCGACGCGTTTTGCGGCATTTGCACTTGGTTGGAGAGCGGTGCCATTTGGCCAGGTACTTGGGGTGGCGATCTTGGATGTCGTTCATTTTTCACCTGAGAAGATGGTAACCTTGGTGAACCCCGAGCGCCTGGTGGCATTCCACCTCCCATTGAGTCTTGATGCAACGGTTGGTAGAACTGATGACCCGAGGCAGCGGCAGTGGCCATTGCGGCAGCGGCAGCAGCGGCTTGGGTAGGAGAAATTCCATACGTTTGTGGGAGTGGAGCGTACTGTTGAGGGAAGTTCATCTGCTGGTGTACCTGGCCGGGCGCACTTTGTGTTTGTTGGTAATGTGATTGTGAAGGGAGGATTGGAGAAGCCTGGTGGTTTGAATGGGGGTGTTGCATGTGCGGTTGAGGGTTTGTGGGGGACGTGATAGACCCGACCGGCGGGCCAGCATTACCAGTTGAGGATTGGTAGGGAGGGATGTGTGAGGATGCATGTGGGTGCTGATTGTGAGGTTGTTGGTATTGAGGGGGATACTCCATGGTTGACGCGCTGGTTGGGTGGAATGAACTTGGTGTATGTCCCTTTTTTCCCTTTTCAATATTTTTTCTATTTAATCGAGCCAGCGAACGAGGAGCTGAGGTTCTCCGGCAGCGCAAATATCTGCCTGGTCTAAACCAGCGGCAAATGCGTTGGGAAGCGCACCAATGGAGTCGCAAGCCAGGAATTTATTATTTTTCTTGGGCGAAAGGGTGAGGGAAGGCCAGCAACTACTTTCCGATCGAGGGATAGGATGGGATGGATGGCGGACAGGATAGGGTAGGACGCGGAACGGGACCGGCGAGAATCGAAGGTTATGTTTGAAGTGCTCGACAGAAGGAAGCGCGAACAAATGATTG